TATAATAAAGATATGAATGATAAATGAAATAATAGCTGCCTAATTCATAATCAGCAGTGAAAAGCTTGGAAATGAAAAGCAGCAGTGCTTAATTATAATAGAGAAATCATTTCATGATCAGTCTGATCTCAAGCACAACAGCGGGATGCATTTCCTCTTTCCTTCCAGTAAACACGCTGCTTTCTGTATCTGTGGCAGTTAATGAGGATCGGAACCAAGTCGATCTTTTGCTGACACGTTAGAAACAAATACAAGCAAGAAACACAAAAACAAACCTGGAATATCAGTGCGCGCGTTTATTTTACGACCATTTAATGAACATTTAGCACACCGAGCCCTAAATATATCTGTGCAACATTCTTCACTGACCTACTTTTATTAGCCATAACTATTCAGTAATAATAACTGACATGTTTAAATAGAAACCTGGTTTTGCTCTCTCATACATGCGGTGAAATAAAGACATAAATAAAATCATTCCCAGCGCTTCTAAGAAATAACAGAGTCAGTATCCAGCTCTTGTGTCACTTGTCTGGATCAGCACGTCAGGCTGCAGATTTTGCATCATAGTTGTTATTTTAGACATCAAAGTTATCAGGAAGTACATGTGTGACTGCTCAGAAGTCCTGCAAAACAAATATGACTTAAATCAGTCAACAAAACAAACAAACAAACGAAAAAATGCACCCAGCCTCCACCCTCACTGACGCCAGGATTCATCCTCCCTCATCGTCTCCATAGCGATCTGACCCCACGTGCTGATTGGTGATTAACTGGTTTGATAGCTCTCATTTTCACATCAGGTAGATCAGAGAACAAAACTTCCCCTAATCGTTTACAGGCGGTTCAGAAAACAGCTCATTGGCCCGTGTCCTCTCTGGCTTTCACTAAAATGAAACTACACCTGTCAGGAACGCGCCCTCAACGCGCCCTCAACGTGCCCTCAACGCGCCCTCAACGCGCCCTCACCGCGCCGTCTTCTCACTGCATCACTGAGCTCTGTCCTCCTGTTAAATCAACAAACGTCTTCTTGCTCTGCGTCACACCTTTCTGCTAAAATTCCACATGTCGTCGATCATGGTGGGGACACGCTGGGATTCCTGCCTGGAAAAAGTCGGACTGATGCTGTGTACACAGTAGGATGGTGAGAAAGACGGAGGTACTTTTCCTTTTTAGGCAACAACTCCTCATGACCTCCTGAAGGAAGACTCATCAAGGTGTGAGCCCAGTTTTTAGGGCACCTGCATCTTCTTCAGTGTGTCTGAAGCTGTCGTCGTGTCTTTTGAAGCCTGTGTAAAGTTCCTGCTCTCACTTTAGCTTTTTTCTTTGCCACTGTCTGTCGTGACGTCGGGCACAGACGGTACAGAAACTGCTGAAACAGAACGGAGCCAGCTGCAATCTGTTCCTCCTCCTTCAGGCAGACCAGATGTATTACTTCCATCGCTTTATTCTGTAACCACTCGGGATGCCACACACAAACAGATCCAGTATTAATATTCTTCCAGCTTCCTTCTCCATCACCGTCCTGTTCTGAGAAG